TTTAATGGTTTTGCTTTATGGTGATATCTTCTGATTCTGAAAGACTTGTGTCCATCATTAGAACTTTATTGTTTATCAGTGAAGATTAGTAGTTTATCTATTCAAGTGTTTTGACCTTTACGGGAATTATTGGTGTTATGATAATATTTAGTTGCTAGCACGATTTCGTGATTGTACCTTAATAATTTTGACTTTAGATTTATTCTTAAAGTAAATCAACATCTGGAAATGGTGAAGAATTAAATAAAATTCTATGAACAAAACAATATATGGAATCAATTTGAATCGAGTACATATTATTCTCTCTGTTTACTTTACATATATGGAATCATTTGGAATCATTTTTGAACCAGAACATAGGTTCAATGAATTTGTTAATCTCCTTTGTGGAGTTTCTTAGTCTCCTTTATGAAAGTTGTTTAGTATCCTTTATAGAGTTTTTTTCTTTAATTTATTAATTTCTCGGGTGTTCGTATCCCCCGGTTGCCTGTGTGATTCCAATTGTTTGAAAAAAAAAAAAAAATCATTTTGAAATCTCCTTTATTTTCTTTTGTCAATGAAGTTGCTCCGGTGCCAATTTCTTCTTATGAAGAAAAGCTAAATGAAAGACGTTCAAATATAATTTTGTATGATCCAAAATTCAACCTCAAATAAATATTTTAACAACTAGATGGCCTTCTTTTTAATCTCTTGGAGCATTGTCTTTTAGGTGATTACAATTTCTCAAAAGAGAAGAAATTAATTCTGAAATCAGTTTAGTTCAGGAAAGTCGACTAGTTCTAGATACAATAAGAAAACAGTGCTATTTATTTAATAAATGAGTTCACTTTGGAGACATAAGTCACATAACCACACTTGTTGGGTCAAACTCAAGAAGTGCATTCGTGTATATAAATAAGCCACGATTATTATTTATGTAATGTTCTGTTATGTTTGGTTTTTGTCCATTGCAAATGGAACTGGAAGAGTCATTGTTGACAATTCTCCTGGCATAATGCTAATAATGGACTAAATCAAAATGGCTCAATTAAATTCTAGTGCTTCTTCTATTAGTGAAGTTTCTAGAAAAAAAAAAATATATCAAACGGCGCAATGCACCTTGGGTCGCTACGGAAACAGCCTCCTTGTATAATTACAAGGGTAAGGTCTGCGTACAACTGACCCCCCAGACCCCAACTTGTTGGACAACTTGTTGGGAATATACTGGGTTGTCTGTTATGTTTGGTTTGCATCTGTGATAGCTTGTCTGTAATGTTAATTTTCAATACTCATTGTAAGGTAATAGTGGTTGATAGTCTGTTGCGTGGATGTGGAGATGGTGTAGTAGGACAGTGTTCTGTAGCATTGTCTCTGTTGCTCTATGTAGTGGTAGATTATTATTTAGGACACCATGAAGGTGGTCCTCCTTATTATGGCTAGTTAGCCATCGAACTTTGTACATTTGCAGTTATGATTAATCTATTGTTTCGTTAAAAATAATAATAAAAAAAAAAAGCCACGCGTTTGCGTAGAGCAATTAACATTGAGAGAAGCTATGAAAGCATGTTAACACGAATTGTAAATAACTCAACTATTTCGGAAAATAA